TTTCTGGCCAATTTCGTCTGAAATCCCAGTCGAACGGCTATTCGACTTTTGCCAGGTCGAATTTCAATCTTGGATTAGTCTTGAATTCAAGCTTAATTAATAAAGCATCGATCCCACTTATCCCGACCTCTTCAGATCAAATGGGGCGTGGTTGGGAGCCAGTTGAAATGACGACCCTGACGCCTTTTTGATTTTTCTCTCTAAAAATGGGGAGGAAGCCAAAGAGATCCTACGTCGGCAAACGCAACCAATACACAAAGCGCGCGAAAGCTGATGCTGATGCCACTGATACTGGTTCTGGTTCCGACATGGGAGTCATGCCATCAGCGAATCCAATGCCATCCCCGCCAACTGCAACGCAGCCTCGCACATCCATTCAACACATCGAGACACTTTTGCTTCCTGGTGGAGATTTAGTGAGACTCAGGCAAGGATCAAGGTTTTGTTGGAATGATTGATGGCAAATGGCTGGATTACCGACGATTTGATGATCACAAGGCCGAATCCTCGTCGAGGTCTGACTGGTGGGACAAAAAAGAAACATTTCATTGTTCCTTTGCAGGGCCATGAAGATTTGCATTTGATGGAGAGGGAGATATATTTCGAAAAATAAAATCGGTATTATGGCTCGAAATCTTGTAGAAAAAATTTAAGAGGCCATGCATTTATTGTTTGGAGAAGGGGAGGGGGTGGTGCGGAGATTTGCTTTTTTTGCCGGTGGGGTGGGGCCATTTCCCGCTTTGTTGTCAAAATTTTTGGTGGGGGGGGGGGCCCGGTCCCTTAAGGTTCTTGTGTGAGAAGTCTGAGACGTTTGAGATTTGCGGTGGTGTGGCCGACAAAACTTGCAATGTTGAAATGTTTCCGCCCAAATTCGAACCAGGGACCACCAGTGTGTTAGACTGGTGTGATAGCCAGCTTCCATCATACAAAGGTATACTTAATGGTCGGATGTGGTCGGGGCCTGACCACTATGTGAAATGTGTGATGTCCGAAAATCTCACACACCCCACACCCCCATCTGACCAGCACCCCACCAAGCCCCCCACACAGCCAGGCCATCACCACCAGTCAAGCAAAATCTTTGCGCAACAGCAGCAACACCCCCGCAACACAGCAGGAACCCTCAGCATAACTTCCTACCCTTCCCTGCAGCGCCATGCAGCATCTCGATTTTTAATTCCGCCATGGCCTTTTTGTTTCACCACTACAAAACACACAGCTTGTTGCATTAATCCGGCACAACACGCGTCAGCACCATGCAGCAACACGCGCAACACGCCCCTGCAGATCAACACCCGCCCTGGCCATCCATTTTTTGTCCAAATCAAATGCCCTCAACAAGCCCGCTCACTTGGAACACATCCCAGGTCACTCGGCCCTTGTGGCTGCGGCACTTGCCGCTTGTGCAAGCACATGTAACTTTGTTTTTATTTTGTGCCTTGTTGGCACGGTGTTAGGAATCACTCCTAACGATTTGTCAGCGTGGCTGATGAGTCAGCAGACACCGCCACCAGATCCTGATCCCAGCCGATTTCCGATCTTTGATCAGATTTCCTTTCTTGGCGTTCTTCGAACTTGATGGTTGCTATTGTTCTCGTTTTCGAGCATTGATAGTTATTATTGTTTGCGATCAACGCATGGCCTGCGCGTGGCCTGTGCGTGGCCTGTGTGTGGCTTGACACGTTTTCTTTCATTATGGAATTTCTTATTCTTATCATTACTCCATTCGCTTAAAAGCGAGCCATTTCCTTTCGTTTCTCTTTAGTTCAAATATAAAGCTTTCTAGCATGTGCAACTCTCTCCTTTCCCCTTCTCTTGGAACTCCTATGGGGCAAGTCTCGATCTTGCACTATCTCCTTCGCCTCAACACTCTCCTTCTACTACTTCTTCTTCGGTTCCTTCTACACGACTCTAACACATGGCCTTGGCCGCATTCACTTGTTTGTTGCCATGCTTGTGTATATAAAATCAAAACAACCTCCCCTCCCTTCCTCCCTTCTGCAGCAACAAAAGACCTTCCTTCTTATACTCCAGCAAACCTCTCAAACCATGCATCAAACCTCACACAACGTCTTCCCCTCGAAAATCGAAACCACTCCCTCCCCTGCGCCCTCCTCCTCGAATTTGGCCTGTGCCAACTCGCCAATCACGCAGTGTAAGAGTCACCCGCCGTCCCGCGAGCGCAAAAATGAGCGGAGCAAATGTGCGAGTTGGGCAGCAGCCCCAACTCTCCCTGCCACGCAGCGAATTTTTTTGACGTTTTAGACATCTGTGTCGCGACAGAATCGACTTGAGTTGGCGTCTGGATTGATCAAATAAGCGAAGCGAGAATCTGGTTTATCATGCTCGAAGTCACCCGCTGTTTTTCGAATTTCGAATTTCAAATGCTGAAGAAACCACAACAGCGAGCATGGCTGCGTCGGATCCCGATAATCAGTCGCCATTCTGAGCAGCAGATTCGCGCGACGAGTATAGCATGGATGTGAGATTGGGAGTGGAACAACCTTCAAGGTGCGCATGCTGCGAGTTTTTTTGTTGAGCGACTTTTGATACAAGGGGGGCCGCGGCCCCCCGCGCCCCCGAAGGGCGGCACCGGGGGCACGAAAGGGCGCGGGCAGGGGGGGAGGCCGACGGGGGGGGGGGGGGGGGGGGGGGTGCGGGGA